GTGTGTGTCTGTGCGTGTGTGTGTGTGTGTGTGTGTGTGTGTGTGTGTGTGTGTGTGTGTGTGTGTGTGTGTGTGTGTGTGTGTGTGTGTGTGTGTGTGTGTGTGTGTGTCTCTATGTGTGTGTGTGTGTGTTTTTCAGCATATACATCGCTCTCAGACGTGAAGAGCTCCATGAATCAGGGTGTGTGTCCGACTCCAGGCTGCAGAGGAATCGGACACATTAAAGGAGCAAAATACACCGGACACCACAGGTGAGATGAACCACACACACACACACACACACACACTTCTCACACAAACACACAGTGAGATAATTCATCAGTACACTCTTTTCAGAAGAGGGCGGAGCTACAGATGCATATGCATCAGCATAGTGACAGATGTAAAGCAGCAGTGTGTGTGTTGTGAGTGCTGGTCAGGTGTGCATGTGTGCTTGATGCTTCTGTCAGTCTATGTTGCTCCTGTCGCTGTTCATCTAGAACTCCACATCTATAATGCTCTTAGTCTATGCTGACATCATCTTCAGCAGCTCAAACACTCTAATGGCTAATGGACAGACGGCTGCTTCTCACTCAGGGCTGCTGCTTATGCTAATGAGATGGAGAGAAGGGCACTAGTGGGCGGGGCTTTCCCCCTATAAGGGAGAATGCCAATCAAAGTGTTTCATTCATCAGGTCTGATTATAAACAACATAATGGACTCATGTTTAGCGTTACAGGACATATTCAACTCTTGAAGAAGTGATGTTTGCATCATAGCCCCTCTATAATATCTTTTCTGCTCAGAAAGAATTGGACTGTGTTTCATTAAAGCCTCATTTACATTCCATTTGCATACAGTTTATATCAAAAGCAGCTATTTAAGCAGAAGCGCAGTGTCACGATGCAATTTAGCGAGCAGATGAACACTGCAAACGTTCTCATCTTCCAGAACAAATATCTTAATATGAGAAGAGATGTGCATCTGCTGGAGGAAGACATTCAGAGACGTGTAAATATGCTGGAGGTGAGAGAAATGATGAATGCACATAATAAATCTTTTAAACAGGAAGGCAAGATTATTATTGTTTTCTGCTGACAGAGTTTATTGTTATTTTAGTTTTTATTATGACTTGTTTATTTAAAATGTACTAAAAAAGCAGAACATGAACATTCATTCATTCATTTTCTTGTCGGCTTAGTCCCTTTATTATTCCGGGGTCGCCACAGTGGAATGAACCGCCAACTTATCCAGTGCATTTAACGCAGCGGATGCCCTTCCAGCTGCAACCCATCTCTGGGAAACATCCACACACACACACACACTCATACACTACGGACAATTTAGCCTACCCAATTCACCTGTACTGCATGTGTTTGGACTGTGGGGGAAACCGGAGCACCCGGAGGAAACCCACACGAACGCAGGGAGAACATGCAAACTCCACACAGAAACACCAACTGAGCCGAGGTTCGAACCGGCGACCTTCTT